GGGAATGACACAGTGACACCTCCCTCACTGTTGATACCTTGCTGCTGTGTGTTGCTGTTGTCCCCTGTCATCCCTGTGTTTTTTGTCCCGTTGTCAACCTGTCATCACCCCATCATTGCCTTGTGTTGCACCATCGCTGTTGTCACTCTACTGTCACCCTGTTATTCCTGATGTCATCATTGCCCCGTGTCACCATTATCATCCCGCTGTTACCATGTTTCTGTTTCACCGTTGTCATGCTGCTGTACTGTGTTGCCATTGTATCCCTTTTATCCCATTGTCGTCACTCTGCTATCCCAGTGTTACCTCTCCATTGTCTCATGTTGCCATTGTCACTGGCCCCCTGTTGTCCTGTGTCATCACTGTCACCCCATTTTCACCCTGTTGTCCCATGGCACTCTTGCCTTTATCCCATTTGTCCCGTATTGCCTTTGCCTTTGTCACCCCATCATCCAATTTGCCGTCATCATTGTCTTCCCATGGTCCTACTGTTGTCCCTTATGATGACATCACTATTATCAGCCTGCAGTCAGTACATTCTCATGCTGTTCTCTTGTGTTGCCATTACAATTGTCTCCTTGTTGTCCTGTGTCAGAAACCCGGTTGCAGCTCCTCCCACACTGCCAGCCCCGTGTTGGCTGCCGGCTGCTCCAGCATGAGCTGCTTGAGGTGGGGGAAGAAGTTGTACAGACAGCCCAGCAGCTCGTTGCTCTTCAACTGTAACGTGTTCTCGGCACTGCCACCATCACCACACTGCCACTGCCCACAGGGACACAGTGACGTGCAGGGACAAGTGGTGATGTCTGTACCAGGTCACAGGCACTGTGTGTCCTCCAGGCACTCCTCGCTCATGGGCTGCACACCCACCTGTAGCTGCAGCGTGAAGTTGTGCATGGCCAGATTAAGGGTTGGGTGCTGGGGGGAAGGGATCCCCGTGGTTGCAACCTCTACAGCTGCCCACCTCGGAAAAGGCAGAGAGGAACAAAACTGACAGTGGCGTGATGGAACTCTCTGTTTTATTGTGATGGACTATGATGAGTTTGGATACAATTGGAGCTTGCACATGGCTGCTCCTGCGACATCACTGGGGCTGGCTGTTGATGTTCGGGGCCCAGCGTGGTACCCGGGAGCGGCTTCATCCCTGGGCAGATTGAGCAGTTTTTGGTGCTAGATCTTTCTTAGTCTTTTTTTGTTTGTTTGTTTTGATGTTCTGTGTGCGTGCCAAAGGTACAGACAGTTTGCTGCAGACAAGACATATCTAAGCGAAGCAAATTGCCTTCCTTTAATCAAAAAAAAGCAAATTAGCATAATTGTTCTAGGAAAAACTGCTGCTGGGTTAAAACAGAGGAGTTTTCATACCACATTATTATTGATGTGTTTTACTGTCATTAGTAAATAAATATATATAAATATTAAGTATATAAAGAGAGTAATTTAAAAGTAGAAGGGCTTTGCTGGACTTTGTTTTGCCTTGTTTTCTTTGCTTTCAAATCAAACATTAAGTGAACCAGTGAGTCTAGACATTGTTATAAGAGTTTACAAATTTCTCTGTCATTTTACCTTTGCACTTTGTGGTCAGACACTTCAGAAGGAACACTTTGGACTTTGATTCTGTGCGACACAGGTTGGGTGCTGAGATTTTTATGGTATCAGTGACATGTCTTCGTTAACTCAGTATTCAATATTTCTCTCAATTGTAGCCTGCAGAAAGGGGCAGCTAACTAGTCTGACTACATAGGGTCCAAATTATGTACGTACATACTCTAAAGATGAGTGTGTGTGGGTCTTAGAACTACAGCTGCCCCTGAGGATGATATTGAGTGTATCATTCAATATCATTCAAATGTGCACTCCTAATTATAACCTTGAATAAAAATTTAAAGTCTTCCTGGATGTATTTTAACAACTCCAGTTTTGTTACAAGTGTCTTCAAGATGGTATAGTTCCCCTTTTTGCTGTGGTTGTTTTTTTTTTTGTTTGTTTGTTTTGTTTTGTTTTGTTCCCCCCCCCCAGGACTTCAGTTTTCCATGCTAGTGGTCCAGAACCTAACAGTGTGCAGAAGATAGGTTGAAGTGGATCATCTCTGTTGAGCATGCACTCCCTTCAGAAGGAAAAAGAGACTCAAAACTTTAGAGTTCCTCATGTTTCTAGCAGAAGGAGGTTTCTCTGGATATTATCTTTTGTTTTAGTATATGAAGGGCTGATGGAATCAATTACAGCTTTTTCTTCTCTTTTTAGACCTGAAATAAGAAAGCACAAAACCAGCAGCAGGTTTTGCCTAGTGTTTTGCAACCTACATCACTCAATTAAGATTACAATTAGCTCAGCAGTGCAGGAGAGTAGAGAAGGTGAGTTCTGGCTCATAATAAATATGCATGAAGAGTGCCCATATCAATGGGAGTGCAGACAGGGCTAGGCTCTGGGGGTTATATTCTCATTATATTACCTGTTCATGCAATGTGTATGGGAACTGCTGAGTCACAGCCTGAACCTCTGATTGATCAACTGAGGCAAGCAACAAGTCAGCCAGAGGAGCACAGGAGAAGGCAATTCACCTGTGCTGCCTGGCTCCACCCCTCCTAGACCTATTGAAGAGCTGGCTACCAGTTAGGCAAGGAGCTCTTCTGGAGCCTCTCTACCTTTTCCCTTTCTCTCCCTGCACTTCCCAGGGCATGGATCTGTGGGTTTCTTTGCTTCCTTGTCACAGACACGAGGCCGAACCAGGCTGAACTTTGCGCTGTGTATAATGCATGTCTCTGGGGCCAGAACCACGTCCGTCAGCCCAGGAAACAGAGCTGCTCTCCTCACCAGTAATAGCAGCCAGAGGAATCACAGAATCACAGAATGGCCAGGGTTGGAAGGGACCTCAAGGTTCATGAATCTCCAAACCCCTTGCCACATGCAGGGCCACTAACCTCCACATTTAATACCAGACCAGGCTGCCCAGGGCCCCATCCAACCTGGCCTTGAACACCTCCAGGGATGGGGCATCCACAGCCTTTCTGGAAGAAAGTAGCTTATTTCTACATCAGTGACATTGCCCTGTCTGTCTTCTCTAAATTACAGGGCTTTCTCTGCACAGTACTCATCATCCCATGCCTTTTGAAGTCGATGATTCAAGGGAGGGAAAAAAATTCTAAACAGTTTGCCTGTGATTAGTCATTGAACTGCTTGCAGTGAATTTAGAGTGTTGTAGCGAGATATGCATCTCCAAGGGATTTTTCTTTAATCGTTAGGTCTCTAGAAGTGTCCCTTCTCTCTCTCAAAATGACAGGTTCACTCAGCTGTTGAAGAGTGAGGCTTTTTCTGTTCTACAGCGCTGCTTGTATGCCCTCATCCTGCTTCCAGCATAGAGTGTGCATGTCTGTGCATATGTGGCCTCTGCAGGGTGCCCTTTTGTATCTGACTGACATCAAGATTACATAAGAGCTTTTTTGCCTCCTCAGGTGTTCTGTGCTTTGACCAAGAACCCTGTGACTACTTATGGGTACCTTTTCAAAGCAATGAGCAGAGATTTATCTGCCTGACCACAGTGATGGTATTAGAAGTCATAAACTGCATTTTGGTTCACAGCTTTTAGGCTTGACACTTTATTGATCTGTTTTCTACTTACATACCTGTAGATGAGCCCTGTACTTCAAAATCTGTATCATCAGGATCTCTTATTTTGCTTGTGACACAACACATCTTGTCACATGCAGGCCTCTACACTGCAGAACTTCTCTGTGTCATGTCTATACAGAGCTTGCACAAATTCTCCATTTCCCCCTAGAAATCTTGATGTTCCACTTGGTATTTTCCAAACCTACCCTCCAAACAAGCTCTTATTAGTCTTTCTTCCTGCTTGATGTACAGCACCACTGGAAATTATTGCCATTGGTCTCATCAGGTCTGCATTGCAGTGGGCTTGTATGTGAAATTTTGATTATTCTTAAAAGAAGTCTGCTTCTTACTAGAAGAGCTGTGCTGCTTATTCTATAGCAGCGGAGCCTTTTGGAAGGTGACTGTGCCTTTAGTTACAAAATAGCCAAATCACTTCCAGTGGTCACCAAGCCTGATGTGCCCAAAGCTTGCCTGAGACAAACTTTGGTTTTTGAGGGTTTTCTTGGAGATATGCTGGGTGTTCTGATGTCGCTGGATGTTTTGTAGTGATATGTAGTGGTAAAATCCTTAAATTATGGTACTAAGAAGAGTATGAGCCTATCTCCACATCTTCCAAGAGGTAAAATGGAGTTGCTTTTAGACTTCTGCACTTAGATGATTATGAAAAGTGTCTATTCTGATTAAAATATCCCAAGGTTGATCTTCAAATGTTTCAGTATATTCTTGGGTATTTCTGCTTTCATCATAAGCACATAAGCAGGTATCAGAGAGATTTTTATCTGCATGATGTAGAATATTTAGTATAGGCAACTGTAGAAGTCAAATGAAAAGATTACAGCTATTTAACATTTTTACTGTGTGCACACGTGATAGTTAGATCCATCTTTTAATGCATTCTGCAGCAAACTTGTTGAAACTATTGACATGAAACCTCTTAGTAGTGAAAGAAATGTGACCAGCAGGCCAGAGGGTGTGATTCTTCCCTTCTACTCTGCTCTTGTGAGACACTATCTGGAGTACTGTGGTTGTTCTAGAACCCCCAACACAAGAAGGATATGGAGTTGTTGGAGCAGGTCCAGAGGAGGGCCATGAAGTTGATCAGAGGGCTGGAGCACCTCCCCTATGAGGACAGGCTGAGAGAGTTGGGGTTCTTCAACCTGGAGAAGAGGAGGAGGTCTCCTATGAGGAGACCTTACAGTGACCTTCCAGTACTTGAAGGGAGACTACAGGTAAGCTGGGAATGAACTTTTTATAAGGACATATAGCGACAGGACAAGGGGAAGTGGTTTTAAACTGGAAAACAGTAGATTTATACTAGATACTAGAAATAAATTCTTTACTGTGAGGGTGGTGAAAGCAACCTGGTTTGGAGGGAGGTGTCCCTGCCTATAGCAGAGGAGTTGAAACCAAATGATCTTAAGGGTCCCTTCAAACCCATAACATTCAATGATTCTATGACTAAGCCTCAGCAAGTTCCCAGATTGTCAGTCCAACACTTTAATATACTTTTTGTTCAATATTTTTAAAGTTGCATGAGAAAAATAGAACTGTAAAGTCTCATTTACAGGGAGGAATGTGAATTTTGAATTTCTGAGACAACATGGACTGAACTTAATTGAGACAGAAAAAGGAAAAAAAAGATTGAGAGGAGTGTTACCACGTAGTTCTACATATAGTGGAGTAATAGAACATAAGTCAATTCTAGTACATTGTCTAGCGGTCTTGTTCAATCCCTCATTTATTTCAGTCTTGAATCCCTAAATATCATCTGTCCTGTGGGAGAACTATTACAGGCACTCGTTTATAGTAGTGACACCTGTTTCACAGAGGTATCAAGCTCCCAACAGCACCAGACATTTACAGCTTTGGAACTGGAGGTTGTCTCATTGCACTTTATCACAGACCATGTGAGATTCTGTGTATCCATTCTCTTTGGGAGCATCTCTCCAGTGTCAGAGCAGGAGCTCACTCTGCTCTTCCTTGCAGTTTAGATGCTAGACACCTTATCTTGCAGAACCCTTCCTCCCACCTTTTCTGGGCTCATAACAGTCTCACAACATCATGAAGAGGAAAGAACGCACTCTGCTTTTTGGAAGAAGTTGCATAAACGTGTGACAAAACTCCACATTGGGAGCATTCTAAAGAAAAAAAAAAAAAAGACATTTAAAAAGAAAAGACACAGATAGGTTCAACCTTGATATTGGTTCTAGCTGCTCCTATCAGAACAGTTCTGGGCATCGAGAAATGCTGCTGAATATCTGTACGTGTCACTTTGAGCACCACTTCCAACTTTTTTAGCAGCAAAATTTTTCAAAATTTTCAAAATTTTTCTTCCCAAGTCACTGTGAAGAAACAAAGCAAAATCAGCTGGGACACCAGTGACACTGGGGGAGGCAACATGGCAGAATTTACTTCTCCATTAAAGCAGCTGCTGCTTTGATGATATTCCAGTGTGCTGTGCTCTCACAGAGCTGCAAGGGAGCAATGGCTGAAGCCAGTTGCAACAAGAGAAGTCCATGTTACACTGACATCAGAAGTCCAATACAAAATCTACATTGCTACCCCCACAGAAGAGCAGTTCACACTAGGAATCATCTCTAGAGACATACATATGGTAGACACAGTTTTGGGAGAGGTGCCCTGGGCTTAACACCAGTACGACAGAGAACAGAAGATGGCCTACCATCAACCCCTCCTACATGAACAAAATACTTATGACCTGAGAGGAAATTGCTACTGAGCCTAGCCCATAGAGAAATCCCTGCACCACCCAGTTGGATGTAATAGCTCAAAGAAGCCACTGCAGCCTCTTGGAGTAGTTTTCTTGTAAACAGACAGCTGTAAATAATAGAAGAAAAATAACTAAATTCTATAATTTAAAACAAGTTTGTGAGCTGAATCTAAGTGGCAGTATTTCTATCAAGCTGATATCTAATTTCGTTAGAGGTGATTTAGGTATGATGCACTGTTTTAACAAAAATGATTTGGGGTCTGCAAGTGCCAGTATAATGTCTGTAAGTGGCAGTATGTGTCTGTATTTGCCAGTACAGGCAAAGTCTTGAATAGAGGTGACCTCACTGTGCAGTGGTACAATTTGTGTGCAACTGCTTTCAAGACAAGTGACTCCAGTCAGTTTGCACAACAAAACAGTTCAAAAAGTAAGCCACATGAAATTAAATCCACTTTTAATTGGTTATGCTTCCAGGTAAGTGCTATTTATGTATACTTGACAAGAGATGTGGAACAAGTTTCAGATAATCGAAATCGCTTTGCTGAAAGAAACTCTGCCAAGCACGTATTAGTTCACTGGATGCTCGTCACAGTTTAATATCCTGAAACTGTGATCCTAGATAGGCTCCCAGGGAAAGCTACAGGACAACTAATTGCAGTAACTCTTCCATGCATTTCCTTTCATGCTTTGGAATATTTTGAAAACTTCACTTGAAAATGAAATAATAAACATTTTACAATTTCACTCTCTTTAGATACATGGACTTGTTCAAAATCAACCACTTGATCTTTCACCAGAACAAATCAACCACTCCAGATCTTTCACCAGAACTCCAGTTCATAAACAGAATAACAACAGCCTTTCAGTTTTGTCCTTCTAGTGCCTTTTTTCAATCACAGATCAAAATTTAACTACTGAAAGGCTTGCTGTTTCGCTTCAAGAGTGGAAAAGGACAAAAGCAATGTTCCCTGGCCTTTCTTCCCAAGGAGCCAGAGAGATGAAATTTAAAAAAAGTCTCTTAACTTCTCCAAAGAACTGTTTCATAAAAAAGCAGATATGTAAAGTAGAACGCATATCTACAAGGTTGTTCAGACTGAATGAGCAGTGACTGACTGCTTTTGTTCCCCTCTTTCTTGAAAAGCAGCGATAAATGCTGTTTGTGGGCTGATGGAATTCTCCAGCCCCAGTAACACACTGAAGAGGACTGTGAGGCCTCCAGAGTTATGCTATTAGGCATAGCTGTACAAATGCTCACCTCAAATAGAGGGTGGCTCAACACCACCCCCTCACTGTCATTCCTTCCCATTAGTTTATTTCCTCAGTAAGCTGTATGTGTTTTCTAGCAAAAGGGAAAGTGCTGGGTGACAGATTATCATGATAAATTTCTGTATCTAATGAGATATTGATGTGATTTTCACCATGATTTGCTAAAGGAAACTGAGTATATTCACCTACTTCTGAAGAATGTAAAAAATGCAAGGAGATAAGTGGGTTTTTTCAACCTGAATATTTAGCAGTGACCTCCTTTGACTGCATGCTGCAATTATATTTCTGTTGTCTCATTAATCTCGTAATTGTCCTCTTCAATAGCCACTACACTTACCATAGCCATCCAGTTTGAAAAAAGATCACTCAGTGTCAATGCAGCTTCCAGTGTATGAATTTTTACCAGCAATAAATGTAATATCAAGGGAAAATAAACTAGAGATGCGAGCATCTCATACCAGTCACAAAATAAACATCCTCCCGCGTGTTCAGTGGTGAGTCAGTGGATCCTAGATGGACGGAAACCATATTAGAAAAGATTTGTGATCTATGTTGAGTGAAAACTCGTCCCATCTTCATAACCCTACTACTTCTCAAGTGACAAGGGAAACACAGCGGACTTATCAGCTCTTTGTCAGCTCCAGTACACCCACTGGAGAGTTGTATTCACTAACAAAATGAAGTAATAGAAAGCAAAAGACCATTTTGAAAGATTCTCCAACAGTCCACCACAAAGAGATGTTCACTGCTATGGCAACAGCAGCAGCAATACCTTTGAGCAGGGGCTTCTGGTGGCTGCTTTGCCTTGGTGATACCATAAGAGGAAAATAAGAATTTCACTCCTTTATTGGTGAGCGAGAGGGATGGGAATGTAACAAATGACACTTGACATAAGGCACTTGATTAAGAATTGATTTTTTTAACGAGATATTCAATTTTCTTTTAAAAACCAAACCAAAACATTTGGCCATCAAAGAAAAGCTATATAAATAAGCTTTAATATCATACCAAAATACTTTTCCACATCAGTTAATATAGTTAATAAGGTATTCGTGGATTTTGTTAATATACATACAATATATGGCTTTATTTCACAAAAACAACAACAACAACAAACACTAAAGCATTGCTAACAGCAACAATTAGTCACTTTAAACAGATGCTGACAGTGAACATGAGATTATTTGCCTCCTTTCTACTCATCCATTAAGATATCATTGTAATGATTTGTTTAGAAGCCATTTTTTGTCCTGCTTATTTGATACTTTGGGATTTTGAATCAGATTCTGTGAATTCTTTTGCCTATGAAATATCCTGAAGCTAATTCTTCACCCTTTTTATCCTGGCAGCACTGGAAGGTTTCTGTCCAATGCACAGGTCAAGTTGCAGTGATGCTGAATTCACAAGGTGAGAAACAGGAGGAGTTTGCTTGATTTTGGTATTCAGCCTTTTGTTCATTCCTGACTGAACAGGCCCTATGGATGAGAATTTTGACTGAGAAAGAGAAATTTCAGATCAAAAATCTACAGAGAGCTGCAGTCTCCGGAAAGGTTACCAAGTATTTCTGAACTGCAAGATGGATTGCTGCTCACAGGGAGCAGTGTGATCCACTTTGTGGAAGGATGCAAAAAAAAAAAAAAAAACTCGCTCCTTCTGCTTTTTGACGCCTTTCATCATTCTTTATATCGGAAAATGTCTTAGTTTCAGCTGGGATAGAACTGTTGTTTTCAGAGTTTCTGGTGTGATGCTGTCCTTTTGATTCAAGGAGAAAAACAGTGTTGATAACACAGTGATGTTTATAGTTGCTCACAAGCACTGTTCTACAGGGCCAAGGCCATTCTCAGAGAAGGGCCCAAGATGCTGGGAAGGAATGGAATTGGGACAGCTGACTTAAACTGAATGAATCCAACAGGCCTACCATCTCTTTAAGTAGTTCTATAAAAGTACGTCATTTACTGTGGGAATGAAATGCTGTTCCTGCAGTTAGAAGCAGCAAGATGAGTATTTTATGGTCTCTGCTGCCCTCTAGTGTCATTTGTTGGTACTAACAATGCTTTTTGGGATTCTCTTCATTCCCATAAAGGGGTGTCTTTAAACAATCCCTACCCCTTGTTCTTTAGGTAATCCTAATCATAAATATGCATGAAGAATGCCCATATCAATGGGAGTGCAGACAGGGCTAAACTCTGGGGGTTATATTCTCATATTCTGAATCCAACAGGCCTACCATCTCTTTAAGTAGTTCTGTAAAAGTATCTGACTTACTCCGGGAATGAGAAGCCGCTTCTGCAGTTAGACTCAGCAAGATGAGTATTTTACGGTCTCTGCTGCCATCTATTTTCATTTAGTGGTACTAACAATTCTTTTGGGGATTCTCTTCATACCAATAACTGGGGGTCTTTACTAATCCCTATCACTTGTCTGTAGGTAATCCTTCCACATTTATGCACGCTTAGTAGATACGATGAAATAATTAATAAGTACCAAAATTGTAACTTGTGTATGATAGACTATTCTGTTTTGCCAAGAGGCCCTCAGCAAAAGAGCAACTTAAGGGGCCTCTGACATGAGGTCAAACTGTCCCTCTTTTGGATTAGGAGGAATGCAACTGATGCTCCCCTACGTTTTTCCTTCCAACTTACCTCTATTCCAGGACAGCAGGTGACCAGGAATAATGGCCTAGTGCTCATTCATGAGCAAACGTGAGAAGTTCATTAGCACTATATGCTTAGCTAGCAACAATTCTTCTTTAGCCAGTAGCCGTATGTTTAGTTGAATGTTGGGAAAATTGTGAGCCTGAAGTACTCAGCCAATGGGGAAGCAGGGCAGAGAGATAGCTGTAATTTAACCAATGGAACTGCTAGGGTAGGCTTCCCAAATTCCCATCCTTCGTCTATGCAACCAGAAATTGTTCCCTCTTTCTCAGTAAGAGGGTTCCTGCCAAGGAACTCTGTCAGAATGACAGGATGGAGCCAACCGTGGGTACACAGCTACGGACTGTTGCTAAAGCCCAAATATTAGAAGAAATGGAGAGGCAAGGTGGGCATTCCCTAAACTGAAATAAGAACTCATGAAGGCCCTCTGCTCTGGGGCTACCAGAAATGCTCACATAATAAAAAAAGGAATGGCCCTGGGAGTCCTTGCCCAGAACCTTGGGCAGTGGCACACTTCTCCAAACAGCTTGATGAAGTGAGTAAGGGCTGGTCGGGATGCTTGAGGGCAGTGGCTCCAGTACTCAAGTGTTGGTAGGCCAAAGAATAGCAGTTTTTACATCTCATACAGTGTCTGCTGTATTGGAGGTAAAAAGGGAGGCATTGGCTCTCACTCCAAAGGTTCCTGAAATCCCACGCCGTCCTGGTAGAGCAGGTTCTGAGTCAGAACTGGTAAAATATTCTAGACAGGATAGGAATCTAATTAATGATTTAGAAGAAAGAGCAACAGTGGCAAATTGATTTCCTGGAACTCCCAAGAAAGGGGGGGGTATGCTTGTAATTCCTTAACTAATTCCTTAACATGGTTAATAAAGTGTTCACCACTTACTGAATACATGCAACTGTTCTATTGCTTACCCTCAAATCTTGCTCCAAACTATAGCACTTTCCATTTTTATTTATTTAGATAGTTAGTTAGTTAGTTTAGTTAGTGAGTTTGTTAGTCGGTGTGGAGGGGTTGCTCTCACACCAGAAAAAAAACCAAACCAAACAGACAAACAAAAAAACAAACAAAACATCTCTCAGGTGTATGTTGGCACATTGGAAGGATGTTGCAGGAGGGCCAGGGGGAATATTAAATAAGAAACTAGGAACATAAATGGAATAATGGGACCAGTTCTCTAATTGAATACCCTAATCATGAGAGACCAAGTGCTGGGTGTTTGTGGAAGTGGAAGAATTGTACGGTTTGATTTGTGGATTTTGAAAGGAATGAGACAAACTGTTTTGATGGTATAAGAAAGGTAATTGTTACTGGTATACAGAAGTAGAATGGAGTGTATGTGGAAGTGTAACTGAGGGTACAACAAAGGAAAAAGGGTTGAAGAGAAAGTGAGTTAATCTGTGCTGGTGTGAGAGCAACCCCCCCACACCAATTCCCCGCGAGCAGAACTTGGTGTGAGAGAGTACGCTGCAGACGGAGACTTCTGCTGTAAACAGCATGACTTGCAAAGGGGGAGGTGGAGAGGACAGGGCACTGGAAGTGAGACTAGCCTCTGCAGAGATAATCCCAGTGTTAGTACTGGGAGCCTCTGGAGAGGAGGAAGTAAACTGGGAATAACAGCAGCTGTTAGTGTCACGGCACTGGAGTAGGGCCGTAGGACCCAGGGATCCACTCAGAGAGACATGGGG